TTAGTCTATAAGTTCCTCTGAAACCTGTTTAGTATCATAGCAACATGCAAGCTTCCACTGACAGATGGGTGGTAGCTCCATAAGAGGTGCATTGGCCAGGAATGGAACCTGGGTCTCCCGCGTGAGAGATAACTATTCTACCATTGAAACTCCAATGCTTCAAGTAAACTATAGAAATTATCTTTTTTAATACCTAACTTTAATCTACACTCACTTAGGGAAATCTTCATGTAACTCTTAAGCTAGGAGATCAATTACTCATTTTATATTTCTCATAACACCATGATTATAATGTATATTTCCATATAGGAAAACATCAAAATTGTAATTACAAAATAATTTCTGTGGATATTTGGTTGATAGTTATTTTCTCTGAAAATTCTAAGTTCCATGAAGTTAGAATCTATCTCCATCATTGCTTATCATTTTATGCCCTGGAATATAGTGTTTCTGGGTGTCATCCAGTTGATTCTGACTCATAGCAACCCCATGTGACAGAGAAGAACTGCCCTGTAGAGTTTTCTTGGCTGTAATCTTCGCAGAAGCAGATCACCAGGTCTTTCTCCTGCAGAGCTGATGGTGGGTTCCAACCACCAAACTTTGAGTTAGCAGCAGAGTGCTTGACCATTGCTCAACCAGACACCCATATTTTCAGTTAAATGAGCAAGTCAGACAGTAAATCATAAAACATTCAATAAATTGTGTTTGAACAGCTGCGTATACTTTTGGAAAAATAAACTTAGTTAGGGTCCACCACTCGTTTGTCAGTTTGTTCCACTGTTGTAGCTTGCATGTTGCTGTGATGCTGGAAGCTATGCCATTGGTGCTTCAAATACCAGCAGGGTCACCCATGGTGGACAGGTTGCAGTGGTACTTCCAGACTAAGATAGACTAGGAAGAAGGACTTGTCAGTCTACTTCTGAAATAAGGATAACACCGGAACATTGTTTAATACAGTGCCAGAAGATGAGCCCCTCAAGTTAGAAGGCACTCAAAATACCACCGGTGAAGAGCTGCCTCCTCCAAGTTGAGTCAATGTTAATGACACGGGTGGAGTAAAGTTTTCAGGGCTTTCATTTGCTGATGTGGCACAACTTAAAATGAGAAGAAACAGCTGCAAATATCCATTAAGAATCAGTACGTGGAATGTACGAAGTATGAATCAAGGAAAATTAGAAGTCGTCAGAAACTATATAGAATGCATGAAGATAGATATCCTAGGCATTAGTGAGCTGAAATGGACTGATATTGGCCATTTTGAATCAGACGATCATATGGTCTACTATGCCAGGAATGACAAATTGAAGAGGAATGGTGTAGCATTTGTTGTCAAAAAGAACATATCAAGATCTATCCTGAAGGACAATACTGTCGTAATAGGATAATATCGATACATCTACAAGGAAGATCAGTTAATACAACTATTATTCAAATTTGCTCACCAACCACTAATGCCAAACATGAAGAAGTTGAAGATTTTTACCAACTTCTGCAGTCTGTAATTGACCAAACATGCAATCACGGTGCATTGATAATTACTGACGATTGGAATGCAAAAGTTAGAAACAAAGAAGAAGGATCAGTAGTTGGAAAATATGGCCTCGGTGATAGAAATGACACTGCAGATCACATGATAGAATTTTGCAAGACCAATGATTTATTCATTGGAAATATCTTTTATCAACAATGTAAACAATGATTACACATGTAGACCTTGCTGGATGCAATACTCAGGAATCAAATAGACTACATCTATGGAAAGAGACAATGGAGAAATTCGATGTCATCAGTCAGAACAAGGCCAGAGGATGACCGTGGAACAGACCATCAATTGCTCGTATGCAAGTTCAAGTTGAAGCTGAAAAAAATTAAAACAATTCCACAGGAGCCAAAGTATGACCCTGAGTATATCCCACCTGAATTTAGAGACCATCTCAAGAATAGATTTGACACATTGAATACTAATGTTTGAAGAACAGATGAGTTTTGGGATAACATCAAAGATATCATACATGAAGAAAGCAAATGGTCATTAAAAAGACATGAAAGAAAGAAAAGACCAAAATGGATGTTCGAGGAAACTCTGAAACTTGCTCTTGAACGTCGAGTAGCTAAAATGAAAGGAAAAAATGATGACTTAAAAGAAGTAAATGAAGTATTTCAAAGGGAGGCTCAAGAAGACAAAGTAAAGTATTATAATGAAATATGCAAAGACCTGGAGTTAGAAAACCAAATGGAAATTACTTGCTTGATATTTCTGAAGCTGAAAGAACTGAAGAAAAAATTCAGGCCTTGAGTTGCAATATTCAAGGATTCTAAGGGCAAAATATTGAATGATGCAGGAAGCATCAAAAGCAGATGGAAGGAATACAGAGTCACTGTACCAAGAAGAATTAGTCAATGTTCAACCATTGCAGGAGGTAACATATGATCAAGAACCTATGGTATTGAAGGAAGAAGTCCAAGCTGCACTGAAGGCATTGCTGAAAAACAAGGCTCCAAGATTGACAGGATACAAACTCAGGTGTTTCAACAACACTAGATGCGTTCACATGTCTATGCCAATAAATTTGGAAGACAGCTACCTGGCTAGTTGACTGGAAGATTGTGCCCATTCCAAAGACAGGTGATCCAAAAGAATGCATAAATTATCAAACAATATCACATGCAAGTAAAATTTTTGAAGATCAATCAAAAATGGTTGCAGCAGTAAATAGACAAGGAACTGCCAGAAGTACAAGCCAGATTCAGAAGAGGACATGGAACAAAGGATATCATTGCTGATGTCAGATGGATCTTGTCTGAAAGCAGAGAATACCAGAAAGACTTTTACGTATGTTTTATTGACTATGCAAAGGCATTCAACTGTGTGGATCATAACAAAGTATGGATAATATTTCAAATAATGGGAATTCCAGACTACTTAATTGTGCTCATGCAGACTCTATACATACCAAGGGGATACTGCATGGTTTAAAATCAGGAAAACTTTGTGTCAGG